CAGCCCCAAATAATACACAGAGACACTGGATTAGATATAATTCTGTTGGCCTGTTTCTAATTTTTTATTGGCTGGCTCTGTCTTAATGATTAACCCATTTCTATTAATCTAAGTATTTCCATGTAGTCTCATCTTACTGGAGAGAGGTGCTGGCATTCTTCTCTCTCCATCCTCCATCTTGGATCTCCTCCCTACTACTTCCTCTCTGCTCCTAGTCTCCTCGACCCACCTATCTTCCTTTCCTATTGGCCAACAGGGCTTTATTCATTAACCAATAAGAGAAACATATTTATGAATGACATATCCCATCACTGTGGTGCATTTTGTTGACTTGATGATGTCAACCCTGAGTAAGCCATGGGGAGCAAGCCAGTAATCAGCACTTCTCCATGGCTTCTTCATCAGCTCCTGCCTCCAGGTTCCTGCCCTAACTTCCCTGGATGATGAACTATAGACTGTCAGATGAAATAAATCCTTTCTTCCCTATGTTGTTTTGGTGATAGTGTTTTATCAGTTATAGAAAAACAACTAATACAGAAATTGACGCTAGGATAGTGAGGCATTGCTGTGACAGGCATGACCATGTTTGGGGGAGGATTGTGGAAAGCCATTGAGTGTTTAGGGCTTAATGAACTGCTGTGGGAACTAAAACAATAAACCTCAGAACAGTGCAGATGATGGAGACCAGACTTGTGAAGTTTCAGAAGAAAGTTTGAGAGTCTCTTAAAGACTCTATCAGGGCCATTTGATATCTTGAATTAAGAACTGCACTCAGGAGGTGGTGCTGCATCCCATCACTGGGGAGACAGAGGCTGGGGAATCTGTGAGTTCCAGAATAGCCAGGGTTACACAGAGAAATCTTGTCTAGAAAAACCACCCCACAAACAAACAAACAAAAACAAAAACCAAACCAAACCAAACAACAAAACAACCCCCCAAAAAACCTGTTAAGGTAAATGAAACCTTTGCTTTTCCTTTGCTGGACAATCTATGCTACTCAGAGGGAGCTGAAGAATCAGCTGTGAATAAGAGAAGACAAAATCTTCTGGGAGGAGTTTCCTCAGGATCAGGGTCAGAAGACTTTGAGGCCACATCTCATAGTGGTAGCTGAACTTGGTAGAGTAGGAATGAAGTAGGAATCACCTGTGTGGTATTATTTTTGAAGGCATGATAGGGTTCCAGAGAACACTAAAACTTGGAGTGGTATAGAAGGGATGGACTGACTGTAGTGGGTGGGGTTGCTTTGCTCATAAACTTGGGTTATCTGAACTGATATAGGCAGTGCTTGTCTGCAATGGGACCCCTTTAAAGGAAAGAAGGGGGGTGGCCTCTATCTCTTGCTCTGGCTCATGCTTGTGCTGCCTCTCAAGCAGCAGAGAGGCAGCACAGGATCAACAGTGGCTGGATCTGCAGTGGCTTCTGCTTTGTTCTGTATTTGTGAGTTTGTCTTTCCATTGCATCCCTTAATAAATTGGTTATTATACTTTTTGTAAATTCTCACTTCAGAGGCCACTGATGAAGGTGCAGTCTCAGTTGCATTTGGAGCCCCAAAATAAAAGGGGTCATGGAGAGAAGGTGAGGCCTGACACCATGTAGCAAGGTTAGAATCACCCAAGAGTCCAGGAGCTACTAGTGAAGCAAGACACTAGGCAGTGCTCCACAGCCTCTGCTTCATTTCCTGCCTCCAAGTTCCTGCCCTGACTACTATCAGTGACTAAGTGTGACCAGAGAGTTGTAAACTGAAATAAACCCTTTCCTCCCTCAAGTTGCTTTTGCCCATGGAGCTTTTTTTCACAGAAGTAGAAACCTAAATAAGCAAGGTGCATAATACCATTTCTATAACAGAGTCTACAGTGACTGACTTATCAACACCACAGGGCACATCATTTCCTCCAAACTGAAGAAGACAAACATGCCCATGGGCTAATTCTCACACAAAATGGGAGATAATAGTGTAACAGAATCTACTTTGATACAGATAATAGTATCAATAGTATCAATGCAATAGCATTGCAACTATGAGGATTGAACAAGATACTGTGCTAGGTGTTTTGAGAGTAATGACATATAGTTGCATAGTAAATATCAGTTTCCTTTAATCAAACATATCCAGTGTCTCTCAGACCCATTTCAAGCTTACCTGATCTATAGCATCTCCATCTTTCCACCTCAGATTGCTCTTTTGTGGTAGCTAAAGACAATTAAGTTCACTTAAGCACTGATAACACATTCTATATAAAAGACTGTGTTGGGAGTCCAAGGAGGTAACCCAAGGCTGTTGCTTGACTCTGAGGCACTTCATTGCAGTGATAACATATATGAAAATCTGAACAGGGACCCAAGAAATGGTAGGACAAGTTTCAAGAAGTGTATATTTTGCGATTAGAGTGGCTCATTTAAGATTACTTTGTTCTCAAGAACCAGTGAGCCCTGGGTTTGTGGTTGATGGGTGTCAAGATCTAAGTGTTGTGTGTCAGAGCTGTGGAGAGCCACATCTGTTCCTACCTATGCTCAAGTTTTTTAATCAGTTTCTTCCTCCTCAGCAGACAGTTTAGCTTTGAACTCAGAAGTCAAGCTGTTTGGGCTTGAATCCTGGTTGCTGCTGTTATCAGTAATTTCGGGAAAATTATTTATTTTTGTGCTTTCAGTTCTTCATCTTTTTTGTTTGTTTTTGATTTATTTCAAGACAGGATTTCTTTGTGTAGCTTTGTAGACAAGGTTGGCCTTGAACTTACAGAGATCCGCCTGCTTCTGCCTCCCAAGTGCTGGGATCAAGGCCTGGTCCACACCTCAGTTTTTCATCTTTAAAATGATCTTAATAGTACTCTACTTCATAGGTTGTTGTGAGGATTAAATAATCCAATGTATATAAAGCTAGAAAAACTGAAGTTATAATTGTTATTAATTTTAGCCTCTAAAAGAATGCAAAACAATAAATCTAGTCTTGTAGTCATTTTATTTATTTATTTTTAAAACTCAGATTGTGATCAATTTACTTTAAGTAAATAAGCAAATAATAAAATAAATAAGGTCAGGGGTCCTAGCACCTGGGAGGCAGGGGCAGGGGGCAGGGACAGGGTTTTGTGGGCAGAGGCAGGCAATTCTATATGAGTTTGAGGCCAGCTAACTCTACAGAGTTTCAGGCCAGCCAAAGCTACCCAGTGAATCTTTCTCGGTCTCTCTCTTTCACACACAATAAGTAAATAAATAAGATCACAGTAATGATGGTTGCCAGTCCCCACTGGTAGTTAAACAGTGCTTTATCATCCAGGTAAGTACCTTATAAATACATGTTAGCTGTTAGCTGCCTTACTGCCATTGGAAAGCTTTGGAGGTCTGAAGTGAGGCTTGAGATTTGTGCAAACCTGGTCTGTACCAGGAAAGTGGAGAAGAGTAAAACTTGATAAGGCAACAAGGTCTGATGAATAGAGTAACTAACAGATTCTTTAAATCAGTCCAAATTAACGGGTGCTGAGGGTCTATAAGCCAAATAAGATTTCCCATCTATTTTAAGATACACACCAAGCTTCTTCAGACAGAAATCAAGCCTTTTAAGGAAGGTGAGGCAAATGCACTTCGTGGGCTGCTTTAAGGGGGTGCTGAATCTCACCCTGAAGGTGGCTATAGGATTGTGTGAACTGAGGTGGCACCACTGGCTCTCTCTGGAAGGAAAGATGCTATCTCTCCCTGGGGAGTTAGATAACTGTGGCACCACAAGAAACAAGAAACCGCAGCAGCCACCCCCAGCCTAGCACAACTCAATATTCAGATTAAACAAGAGACATCTTTTTTTTCTTTCCTGGGGCAACCTTCTAGATCTTCCTCAAGTGCCTGAAGCAGAAATTCCGGGATAAATTGCAAGTCAAGAGGGCAGTTGCATCATTAAGCCTTGTGGAGAGCAGGTGGAAGAGAAAAAATTATACTCAAAGAAGAGAAAACCACGTATTTCTTGGGAGAAGGGTCAGAGGAATTAGGGATTTGACACATCAGTATCACCTATGAGGCAATCTAGGAACGGATGTCTCAGTTCCCTTCCAAATCCTTAGCATTTGACAGGTGCCAAAAAACGGCGCTAGACTATCCCCTCCTCCCCTCCCCCCACCCCCAGGCGTTACCAACTAAACCCAGCATCTTCCCGAGAAACAGTGTCGAAGAGAAAGCAATAGGTGTGTCTAAAGTTCCCACATGAATGTGTCTGGTGAGGACCAGGCAGATCTGGGTCCGCTGAGGGCCATGGATTGGGTGTGGAGCCTTAGGGTGGACCAGGCCCTGGTCCCTAGATCCCTCCAGCTTCCGGCCTCCCGCAGTTCCTTTTCCGACCCTTGGGCTTCCCGGGAGTTCTCATCGTGGTCGGGGTAGAGAAGACACCTGCTTTGCTTCCTTCAGCACCAGAGTTCCTCTCGACTCCCTGATGGCACAATGCTCCCCCAACCCCCTGCCTTCTGTACCTCTGCTCCCGTGACGTCTGGGAACTCCCAAGCACAACTGGGGGCGAGGCAGTTAAGCCGCGTCCTTCAGATGTCAATCCTGCAATCATGTGAAACCACAATTCCCAGAGTGCCTCGGTCCATAAGACCAAGCCAGATAACATGGCTTCAGAGAGTGGGACATACAGCTTGGAAACTAGTCTCCGGCGTCTTAACCGGATGTATTTAAACACTCGAAGCCCCGCTTCGACACCGCTCCAGTATCACCTCCAGGCCGCGAAGACCCCCCCCCCTTAAGGTTCGACCGCTCCCGGGGCATTTTGGGAATTGTAGTCCAGATGCCAGATTTCACCGAACTACTTTTCCCATGGTGCGCAGTGGCCGGGCGATAGTAACGTTCTCTTTCAAGTGTTTCTGTCCCGAGTCCCCCTCTTCTGGTCCCCTTTTTGCCATCGACTTCTTTCGGTTGACTTCTTTCTCTGATATCCCAAAGGCGTCCCTGAGCTGGGGCCACGCAGCCCTGAGAGGCACTTCCGGTGACAGGTCACTTCCGGGTGGGTGGTCGGAGCCGACGGGCGCGCGCGCGGGGGAGGGGCGGCCTCAGTGAGGCGCTCGGGGATCAGCTGGCGGGCGGGCGCCTAAGTGGCCCCGGCTCTGCGGCAGCGCCGCCTCCTCCGCGTCGCAGGCAGGCGGCCGTGGCCATGTCGCGGGGCTGGTAGCTGGGCTCGGCGCCTAGCCGCCGCTAGTGGGTGTCCAGGGTCCGGGGCCCGGGGCGGGGGTCCGGGCTAGGAGCCCGTGCGTTTCCAGGGCTTTCCTGAAGAAAATGCACGCAGCGTTTCCTCTGGTTGATGGCCTTTGCTTCCCCTAGGACCTGGCAGTTGGGCTCTGGAGTGTGTTACTGATTCATCCTCTCTCTGCCTCTGTCATCGCAGGTTTAAACTTAAACGATCGCTCTCCGAGGAGGAGGGGACCCATCGCGCGATTGACAGTATATTCCTGCAGGCGCCTTCCCTCAGCCCCCACCCCACGGCCGGATTCCCGTGGCTCTGCTCCGGGCTGAAACCCGAGAAGAAATCCTTAGATCTCTTTTCTTTACAACAAATACGAACCGAGAAACCATCGGCATTTTGCCTTGGCGTTTCCTATTGGAAAGATGAAGAAGTTTTTCGACTCCAGGCGAGAGCAGGGCAGCTCTGGCCTGGGCTCAGGCTCCAGCGGAGGAGGGGGCAGCAGCTCGGGCCTGGGCAGTGGCTACATCGGAAGGGTCTTTGGCATTGGGCGGCAGCAGGTCACCGTGGACGAGGTGCTGGCGGAAGGTACGTTGGAAACCAGTGTGCGGTGAATTAAATCCATGGTGCTGATGTGGCAAGACTCTGGTTCCTTGTTGTTTGAGTGGGTATTTGACCAACTGACCCTCCCTTCCCCCTGCACTTTCCCTGTGAGTCATTGTCCTTGAGAGATTTAAAACTAAGACTGGAAATTGACAGGGCTTGGGGAGCAGTGGCCTTTTATTTTAGTTGGGTTGGGAGGGAGCTTGGAGAAACCTCCTCCTTTGACTAAATTATGGGGATCAGATGGGAAAATGTATGTGTAAAGTAGAAATGACATCAAATGCAGGGTGGTGGGCTTGCTGTTTCTCTGAAACTTTAAATTCTGATGTGGAGGCTGAAGGGCAGGGGTAGGGAGAGATCTTAAAAACAGAGAGGGGTTTCTCCTACCCAACTTTCCCATTTCTGTAAGTATCCAAAGAGGATTTTTCTGGTGATGGGAATGCATTTCTTGGTCGTTTGACTAGGTTTGTTTCTTCGCCCCACTGTAATCAGGTCCCCAGGATGTGGCTAAGATAAAAATCTTAAGAAGTGAATGAGATTGTCTTGAATTCAGTCGCTTAGGCCTCTTTTCTCCTGTTTTAGTTTCTTTGTAAGAATTACTTAACAGTGGATCTGGTTTAGTTTTCTCTCAGTTGGAGAGGGTGCTGTTTAGATCCGATGTGTTGATTCTCTTGGTGTGTGTTCATTTGTGTATCTGTACTCATGCACCAGGCTTTAGGGAAATCTTTTGAATGTTCCTCTGCTAACCTTAACTTTGACCTTCATAATTATGTCAGACTGATACTTTTCACAGCTCATTGCCTGCTTAAAGTGCTTTTATTTTTAATAAAAGCAGCGATTTCCTTGGCATGAAGCAATTCAAACTAATTGGATAGGGCCAGCCTACTGTAGGTTGTGTTACAGACTGCCAGGGGTTGGATATGGGGGAGGTCTTAGTGAGGGAAACATGGTGGTAGGGGATAGTTTATTAGCTAGGGAAGAGAGGATGAAAGCTAAGAGGCCCCTTTGAAAAGGAGGCTTTTGCAAGCTGAGGTTGAAGCAAGGATCCCTACTTGGGCCTAGGAAATGCCTGTCATGGTGATTGTTGTAGGGTGGTAGATGGGTGGGTGGGAAGAGGAAAAAAGCTGTGTTTGACTCAGTTTGTGTAAGCACTGGATTTGGTGGGGCCTGGTATCTAAGGTTAGGATTGAAGCCTGTACTTAAAAAGCACATTTTTTTTTTTTTAAAAGATATAATTCTGTTGGCCTGTTACTAGCATTTCTTATTGGCTAGCTCTGATAGAAATATTAACCCATTTCTATCAATCTAAATATTTCCACGTGGTCTTATCTTACCGGAGAGAGGGCCTGGAGTTTTTCCCTGTTGGTCCTACATCTTGAAAAAAAAAAGCACATTTTTTAAAGAGATGTCTGATAATGAATTTCCTTTTGAAATTACTGCTTTTTTTTGTTTTTTCATTCTTAGTAATGCTCCAACTGGACTTAGTCTGGGCCTGAGTCACCATCCTTTCTGGACTTTCTTTGAGGACTCTGGTGCATGGTGGGAGATGCTTCTGTGTCTGCTGCCAGATCTGTACCTTGGAATCTGAGCTGACTCTTTTATCCCGCAGCCAAAGTCCTTGACTGCAGTGGGTGGAGTGTGTGAGAGAGCAGGAGGATGAGGGGCACAGAGCACTTTCCTCTTCTCTAAATGGCTTCTGCTGGCCTCACAGCCTAGGGACAGTTTTCTTTTTAGCTAGGATGTTGTCTCATCATGGGTTGCTCTAAACATTGCCTTCTCTGAGTCTTGGGAGAGTGATGGGAAAGAGAAAACACAAAATTGGTCTTTGTTTTCTAGGCTGCCCTGGAATTAATCCTGAGAACTGCACATTGTGAATTCTGATATTTTAAAAAGTAGAACTTAGGGTTTGCAACTGTATGTGCCTTTATTTCTTCAACCAACAATTACAGGGTACCTATGAGGTGGCAGGTTCTGTCCTAGGCTCTGGGGACGTTATGTTAAACTAGATGCTAGAGTTTCAGAGGTGTTTTAAGGGATGGAAAATGGACAGTTACTGATATGATTAGTGTCACCACGAAAATAAACTAGGGTGCAGTAGCTGCAAATCTTGTCCTTAGCGTCCCTCACTGTTAGGGAACCAAGAACTGTTTTATGGAATGAGCTAGTATGGTGACAGCATGGATTGAGGCTGTGTGTGAGAGTAGCATTTAAATTTTGGTTTGGCAAATTCTTTGGCTATGATTGAGCTTGAATTGTGTGTGGTGTTTGAAGTATGTGGATATGTAGAAGTCGGTATTTATGTGACACCTACTGAGTTCAAAGACACTACTAAGTTTTGAAGGGGGTAAGGGACCTAAACTCTAAAGTATGATGCCTGTTTTTATTTTAACTAGCCAGTAAATTTCCTTGAGATATGTGCTGGCCTTATGCATGTACCCCTGAGCTACATCCCCAGCTCTTACTTCTGCTTTTAAGGAATTACTAGTCAACGTAGGAAGAAAAGAAATACATTTGCACATACAGTAGTGTGCTTATGGTCACTGATTGTATAATCAGACAGATTTTGGTTCAATTTTTGGATCTGCTTTTGTTTTTTAAACATTTCTATATTCTGTGTGTGCACACGCATGCATGCAAAGGTCAGAGGACAACTCTGAGGAGCTGGTTCTTTCTTTCCACCTTGTAGGTGCTGAGGATCAAACTTAGGCCTTTTGGCTTTGTGCATGCATATGTATGTTTGTGTCATAGTGTGTAGAGGTTGGAAGGCAACATTGTTAAGTTAATTCTCTTGTTCTACCTTTACCTGTGTTCTGGGGATAGAACTCACATTGTCAGACTTTCATGACAAGTGTCTTGTTGAGCCATTTTGCTGACCCTCTGGATCTTTATTCCCCCCCCCCCCCTCTTTCTTTCCCAGTCATACAACTTGGGCCAAGCTATTCCACAGGAGAGCTTATTAGAAATTAAGATCTCAGAGCTCACTCTGTAGATTGTGGGTATGGGACTTTAACAAGTCCCAGGGAGAGTTTGTTGTAAGCTAAAGTCTGAGGCCCCACTGTCCTGTGGGTGGTCTTGAGGACTTAGTGGGATAGTGATGTATATCACTTTTGAAGTGATAAATTCAATACATGGTAACTATTATTTAACTGGCAACAGTGTATTTATAGGTAAAGGTGAGCGGGGAGCAGGTGAAAACTAGCCTGACTGGGACAATCTAAAGCATTCTCCCCTTTTATGTTTGGGCTGAGTCAGATGTTCTTTTCGGTATTGTTTGGGTAGCAGTGCTGCTTTCCTAGTCCTTCTCTGAGTCCTCAAGGTTTTGACCTGTCCACCAGTCCCAGCCAGAGTTGCTCAAGGGTGGTGAGTTATATGCCAAGTGACCAGGGAGTATAGGGTGGTGACAGTGGGAATTTTCAAGCACAGGCCTGATTACCACCACATCCTGTTGACAATTTCCTTTTCGCCAGTGAGGGTCTTAGTGTGTGCTTCACAGGAAGGGACTGCCAGGACTCAAGAATCTGGTGCTAGAGAAGAGGAGAGCACTCTCTAACTAGTCCTTTAGGCACTTGGTTGTCTGGAGGAAGGTGAGCCCCTCAGCTATGAATTAGAGGGGTATGGCCATCTCTAGGCTGAGTGTTTTCTTAGTGAGGATGCCTGGATGAGATGATAAACCATGTCTGAGTTAGTAGACATGTGATATCAAGGGAAGATTTGGCTTAAGCTGCTAAAATGAGCTCATTGGGAAAATTAGAGCAGTGCTTAGAAGCAGTACTTTTGTCATTCTTCTTGGCTCTATAAAGCCTTATATCTTAACTTTAAACAGTAAGTAAATATTGAATATTTGCTGTGCCCAAGGCAGCATTCCAGAGCTGTATCAGTTCGGCAGAAGGTGAACTAGCAGGCTCTACAGAACATTCTCACCTGCACAAAAAGAATCCAGGTCTGGGGCTGGTGAGAAGGCTTCCCTAATTCCCGCTATTTGCAGGTGAAACTGTGTGCAACCTCTCCTCCCCAGCCCACAAAAAGCACACAGTTCTAAATGTCTTGGTACATGTATGCATTCATCTAGTGAGCCATTTATTTGTGCTTTTCTGTGGCAGGCACTACATTAGGTTCCAGGAAAAATCTTGATGGTTCATGGACCGAGACCAGTAAATAAGTAATCCTGGGATAAGTGTCCTGTTGATAGGGAGAAAGGGGTGGTTTGAACAGGAATGGCAGTTACCCAGCAAGTGTACCAGCTGTGTTACCCAAGGCCTTTTAGTCAGAAGGAATGGCATGTGCAAAAATGTGGAGTGGTGAAATGGAAGATGAATCTTAGGAATACTGACCAGTGTGATGTCAACTATTTTGATACAAGTTTCTCTTCCAGGCTCAAGGAAAGGAAGCCAAGGATGTGTGTGTATGGAGGTGGGATAGGATGAGATTCTTGTATATTTGCTTCCCAATATATATTTGGATGTGTTTTCCACTCACTTTCTTCACTGGCTCTGTGCTCTTTGAAGAACTACTAAGCAGCAACATACTTACTCCCTTCTGTGCCCTAGCTGTGTGCTTAAAGCACAGAAGGGTATCTCACAAGTGTCATAAGAAGCAAGAAGTCAAGCAGAAGCAGGCAGGTGTGTGCTTGTGCATGTGTGCCTATTACCAGTGTTAGTAAGAATGCACAGGGCAGCTAAGATGTTTGACTAGAGCAGGTGAGAAAGGGAAGAAATGGTTTGTGGGGACCTTTGAGCACCAAGCAAAGAGATAAGTTAGATGTTCCTGAGTCCCTTCTTGATGCAGATACCACTTTGATCCCTCCTACTTCAGATGACTTTGCCTGCTGGGAAGCCTGTTTTTTTTTTTTTTTTTTCAGGCGATGCAGATTTTCAGGGGGTGGTTTGTGAATGGTGTCTTCCTGGTTTGGGGCTTGATGACGGTTATAGCTTTGCTAAATCAAGAATTCAGAATGAAGTTCAGAGTACACAATTGCCATGGTCAGA